TGGATCATCAAAATAATTATTTAAGAATCTCAAGCATGATGAGCAATATTACAAAATGTATTGACATTCTAATTATTAATTTGAGTGTTCTACATAATTATTTTGAGTCTAACAAAATTATTTTCAAATCTGTATGTATGTAGTTAAAATTTTAGATACTCTTTAGTAGAACTGTTTTTCCCGCGCGCGCGCGCAACCAGAAATTTTTCTCAATGGACTAAATTTTTTACTTTAACAAAAAGTTCTTTCCGTGTCTACATCAAGATCCTGACTTTAACAAATATATGTATAATACGAGAAAGCTTGAAGTATACGCAGAGATCTATAATAAAATCGTAGTTATATTATCAAAATGCACGTAAAATTCTCTATTCCCAGGCGCTTAACTTCACGCGAGAATTTATATAAAACACGAATTTATTTTGAGGTCCGTCGGGGTACTAAAAATATATATATATATATATATAATATCATGGCTATTTCATATTTCTCTGTAATATAAAATTACCCTATAATTAAGAAATTACATTTGAATATGTATGCCCGCAAATTAATTAATATATTATAATATTACGTGGGTGAAATAGCCTTACAACCTCAATTACTATAAAATATCCGCTACGGTGTGTATTTGCATCTGATAATTCTGTGGGAATGCTCGCATCGAATTCTTTGTACCGGTCTCGGCAAGCTTTATGCATTCTTGGGACTAAAGGGAGAGAAAGAGACGCATTTAAAAAATAGCAAGTAACGAAACGACAATCCTACAATTCAGCGTTTCCTTTAATCCGTCTGTGAAAAAGGGATCGGTGAAAAACCATTGTTCAAATTCGTCGCTGCAAAAGTGGGCCCTCGAGCAACTCGACGCAAAGGATCATCCGTCACGAAAATATATATAGCGAGGAAAATCTACTCGGGCCGATGATCGTGCACGCTGGAGTGCGCGCCTCGGCGACTCTATTGTTGCGCACCGCTGTCGCGCGGAGTGCATAATTAATGACCTTCGTGCCGGCGAGTTTTGCATTGCAAATGCCACTCGCGGAACGTTCGCACGCACATATGTATGTATGTACGAGCGTACGTGTATCCGTGCCAGGAATAGAAAAAAAGACGATGAAGGGAAGAGGGAAGAGACGGGAACGAACCGTTTTGCCCGGATAAGCGGCGTGAAGAAAGTTTCGGGTTCGCCGATGATGACAATCGGCACGTAACTTTACGCGTAGCCTCGTTGTGTATCACTGTCGATGGTGACCTCCTTTCCTTACTCGATCCAACAACGTCGGTTTGTCATTCACCGATGAAAGCGTATTTCCGCGCTGCATAATCAATTGCCTCGTTGCTAACAATAATCGCGGAATTTATCGTGAAGCTTACCTACTAACCTCAAAGTTATTTAAAAGACGCAACAGAATATGCATAATTTTTTCGCAAAATGGTTCTTCAGTAAAATTAAGAGAAAGATAAAGATTGTAAAATAGTACTATCTAATTGGGTCGCATTGCCGGAGTGTATAATTACGCCATTTTAATTACACAGTGAACCGTATAATTAATATCAGTCGGTCACGTTAATAGCATCGGCCTTTCTCAAGTTATTTGCAAAATGGAAAACTATTCAAGTGATGAAGTCTAGTATGTACGATATATACGTTGTATGCAAGCAATTAATAAGTTTAAACGTTACATTTCCCAAGTGTAACAAATTTTACGTACTATCGCCTGATGCAGAAACTAACGATAAATTGTTTATAATCTTGATGAAATAAGAGCTTAAGATAGCAGTTTGGTATACAATTAATTTCATATTCAGATACCATTTTGATATTATTAATTGATATTGGACATCTATGAAAAAATATCAATATCTATGAATATCTAAGTTTCCAATTAACATGAGTTTCTAATTATCTTTAGAATGATCCTATTGTCTTAGCTTTCTATTGTCTTGTGACAAAACTTGTCCATTCATCTTTTACAATAAAAAAATCAATTATTTCCAGTTACAGCATAAAGAAATCCTATTGTTGTGAATAGTTTTGAATGACCAGTTGACAAAAATTTCATAGAATCATTTCTCATCTGCAGATCTTTCTGATTGAAAGAAGACAACTATTTGTCATGCGAAGTAATGGTAAATTGATTCCGAAAAAATTTATGATTTTTTAAAATTTAATGCGAATGCAAAAATAAACATGTCTAATTTATGATTTTATTTATAATATTTCTATCTTTCTTCCTTTTCTCTTGTCCAAGAAAAAATTTCTAACAAATAAAAGAAGAACCGAAGATGCATATAATTGAATCATGCCCTTTCGTTTTCCAGGCAACTGCTCTTATCGTTAATTACATATTATATTCTACGTATACCCTCTAACTTAAAATTGCCGATACACCGCATTTGCAGGATCGTTTGTACTACCGCTTTTATTATCCTGCTCTTCATTTTTAGTACGTGCCTACACAAAGTTCATTTTGATCTATTTCGAATTTTTATACATATAATGTAGTCTCAGTCACGTTGCACATTTTTCTTTAGAAATAAACGTAGGTGGATTCGCGTTAAAGTAAAAGTTTATTTAAAATCTTCTTTGTTGAATATCGCTACGTGAGCCAAACAAGGAAAAGAAAATTTTTGAAATATCTATATCGGGTTCATCATACACATAATTTACCTCGACGGTGGAAAACAATTTCTGCAACGCGCAACAGTTAACGAGAAGCAATAACAAAGCGCGGGTGCCTCGTCGAAATTTCACGCTCGCGTTCGTGCCACGCGGTTTTCAGCGAAATCGTTAGCCAATCTCGGATGTGCTAAACGCGTGTCACGGTTCGCCGACGGTGGCTTGGCGAGATGCCAAGGTCGACGATGGAGCCGCCGCGCGCGAAATCAACCCGCGCTATTGTGTTCGGAAACGCGTTAATCGCGCTTATCGGACAATGCACCGATGCGCCGAAGCATTGCAAACCTGTCCGCTGACCCTGATGCAAATATCCTGATACCGCGGATACGTGGACTGCATTCGAGAAAACTACTCTAGAGCGAAGTGTCTCTCTGCCCATTTAAATTTAAAAAAATTGAATCTTTTAATTTATTAATTTTCTACGACACATATAATAAGTAGATATAAATTGGCGAATGTAATAATAAATTTACTGTACAGCCAAATTATATCAAAAATAATTACTTTACCTCATATGGAAAATATTTCGGCATTACTGAATTTAATAATTATGAAATTTCCTTTTAATGCACTTCCTGAAAAGCTCCGGTCCTAAATATCTGATGCCATTATTTTTTATTCGCCATGATATTAGTTCACAATAAAAAAACTCGTTTTCACCAAATTTGTTTCAATATTGTTTGTACATTAGTTCACAGTTTCGTGCATCAACAATTAAATATACTAATTAAACTGTGAATTTATAAACGGCAGTTATGAATGAAAAAAGTTTTATAATTTTTTTAGGAGTAGAATTATCGCAAAACTTTTTTAACTGACTACTGACTACTAACTGTGACTTTAACTGTACTACAAGACTTGGACTACAAGACTGCACTTTCTTTTCAGGATTATAGAAGAATAGGTGCATCCAGAAACACGCTTATTGAGCTCTTGTATCTGATTGGCATATTCCATTAGATCTAAAAATATAAATAAAACAGGTACAAGAGATTACTGTGCGCTCAGTTGAGTGGTTCACCCAATGATCAGGTAAGCTCAGTCCCTGAGAGATAATAGGAACGCCCTTCTATACTTGACAAAACAAGAAATGTTTTCTCTGTCTCTATGCTTACAGCCTCTCACAATAGTTATTATACCTATTGATGCATCATCGAAGCATCTCGATAATTATAATTTGTGTAAAATCGCAAAAAAATTACATTGTAATGTGAAATAGATTTTTTTCCAAAATTCATTACGTACGTGCTTATTACACTCACAGAAGTTACTTTAAAATCAAATTAGAAAAATTACATTATATATTTTTTCGCACAAAAATCTAATGCTTTCGTAGTTAAAATATCTCCATTTGCTTTTTACGATATAAATTTATTTCAAGCGGATTAATTTTAACCAAAAATAAAAAAAGGATAAGCTATTAGTATCAAACTGTTACAGATTGATTTTATGTGAAAACAACAGATACCTTATTTTCTTCTTTTGTTTTCAAATTTTTGTTCTATCTAGAAATTTCTCTTTTAAAAGAAGAAAAACAAGGAGAAAGCAAAGCTAAAAGGATATTTATTATAGCTCTGTTATTCATTAATCATACTGATTATGAGTAAAAAATCATAAGAAAATTAATTCTTACGATTTTTTACTCATAATCAGTATGATTAATGAATAACAATTCCTTGTCGAATTTTCGCGATTTTGAAAATTTTTGTTCAAATCAGTTTTCTTTGCAACGATCCCCATTTCTCCATTTATATAGATATAGGATTGCGAAATAATTACGATTTTACCGCAAAGCAAAGTACTCGCCTTCCTCGAAGGAAACTAGAACTTCCTAATTATCAACTTGTTAGACGTTGTTGAGTTGGAACGAGGGATGTTGTCTTCAGTCTCGAAAATAAGAGGAAATAATAAGATACCGATAATTAGCTGTCGAAAATTATAGAATCCGAATACTTCCGGATACTTTAGACAAATTCGCGCGCGCGAATGCAAATATCTATACTATCAAAAGGATCGCTTCTATCTCTAATAAAATGACTATTTTTTATTTAGTAAAAGTTTAGTGAGTATTGTATCTGTGCCTTATGATTCAAGCTTTTTTTTTCTTTTAATGCCTTTAGCAACTGACAAAGTTGACTTCTTATTTACAGTCCAAATGGTTCAAGTTCTTTAACTTCTGAATCAATGAAAAAAAAAACGTTAAAATAAAAAATCGTAAACAGATCGAAAACAAAATAAACCTAATGCATCTTAAGGATAAGAGACGAAGGAATGTGTGTGTGTCAGGTCAAGATGAAACGAGTAGTAAAGAGTGACATACCTTTTGTTGTGCCAGCCTAAGTGACTCCTGAAAGTGCTCACGAACCGCTTGTTCAGCTCTTTGTTTCTCAAGCCTTTCCCGTTCCATCTTGGCCTTCTCCAGCTCGCGTACTTCCACTTCACGACGTTCCCTGTAACAAGCAAGCAAACGAAAATTCAGTCTATATGCGCGATTATGCGAATCGGTGCGTACAAATTGGTCCGCAGCTTATAAGGTCATTGACGATTAAGAACGGATTTAACAATTAAAAGACGAATGCATTCTACAAATGCAATTTCGTCTAATATACTGAAAAATTTTACTAAATCTTGATACATATTTCTTTGAATAATACTAAGTAAACATCTACTTACAGTAAATAAATATTTACTCAATAAAAAAATGATAGTTTAAATCAAATTAATCGTTTTGTATCAAATAAATATATGTTTACAATTAGTAAATATTTATTTAGAATTATTCAGACGTTTATTAAAGTTTAATTTTTTTTATCAGTGTAAATTTCTAATAGCATTAAGTTAGACAGGTACGTAATCTTAGCTACGACGTGTATATAATAATTAATTCTTAATTGCAAGTCAATAAAAATATACAGCTCTACTTATAATTACTTTTTACTGTAATAAGTTTTACAAACGGACGTTATGTCTTGGTTAATTAAATTTTCTCTATCTCTTCTTTGTCCACAGATAGAAGTTCGAAATAAGTCATTTTGATTAATTAATCATTCCACTGGTATTTTTATTTTAAGATCTTCGAAAGAGACTAACGTTGGAGGCGCGAACGTCTTTATACAGTGTGCTCTGTAACGATGCTTGAACGATAGACGTAATTTATACGCGAGTAATTTATATGGCCATAAAGGAACTCCTCCACGATCGCTCTCAAGCTCCCCCGCATTTCGCGTTCTTTATCGATTTATCTCTGCCCTACGGCCTCCGTTCGCAAAGCTCGGCGGAAATCGCAAATGGCGTAACACGAGGGGAAAAGAGAAATACGGGGGCTGCGATTCCCCGTCTCCCCAGGGGCAACGAGCTCTCTCAGCTGTTACCGTTACTCGAGGCGAAATCAATTGTCGGATCTCTGCATTCTCCAGTTACAGTCGCGTTTTCTTTTTACACTTTACGAGACATAGATTTTCACAGCCCTCTACATATATCGTTTCTCGAACTTTCAGGTATACAGTGAAGAGACAATTTATAAGAATAATTTACATAAAATTCAATCAATTTACGCACAATTTATGTAGATTTTTTTATAAGTTCATATTACATTTAGAGAAAAATATTGTGATATAGTAACTATACAAGTTTTATATGTAGAATTGATGTACAGTTGAATAAATAATTTTATACTTGTAATAACTAAAAAATTAACTATTTTAACTATAAAATCGTATCAACTATGTGTGTGTGTATTAATTTTACATACAACTTATTTACGTACAACTTATCTAGTTACATATACATATCCATTTTTTATATGTGTATGGATATTGATTCTACATATGTATAAAAAGTCTTTTATTTGCCATCATTATATCTTTTTGTCTGAATGTAGAAAGAAAAGACATGGTTCTATGCCACTGATAATTATGTGCAAAAACTGATACTATACACTTATTGTTATCATATTATCCTACAGCGTTTTATTTATGTTATTCGGGCGCCGTCTCTTTCACAGAACTCGCTCTAGGATATGCGCAACTTTTATCTCTTTGCCTTCTCGCGCAAGCAAGAAATTCGCTCATCCCGCATAAACGCGCATCGACGGAGATAATAAAACGCAGCGTCTGGCTGGTATATCTATCTCGCGACTTTTCAAGGGGCAGAGAAGAGCGGGGTAAGATAAGAGCATTCATTAACGCTTGCGCAAGTTATTTATACTGTTACGTGCGCAACGCGCGTGTTTATCTGCACGCTCGGTCGGCGGACCTTACAATGCACGCGCGCGATAAGTACGTTCGCGCGTATCTTCGCTTCTCTCTATCCTTCTCCCTCGCTTCTGTTCTCGCCGCTCTTTCTCTCGTCCCTTTTATCTTAGCGCGCGCGAGTACGGTACACTCTGGCACACCGTCCTGAAAAAACCGCTATTGATGTACACACAGGTATGATCTCCAGACGAGAAATGGAAACGATAACATACGACTGATGACGGAAACTGTTTGGATGCTTGACCGATATTATTACACAGATAAAAGTTACTGGCGTGTAACTTATTAGGTGTGTAATAAAAATATGAGAGCGATGCTTAAAGTAGTGAGACTGTAATCCGCCGCGCCGGTTTATATTGAAGACATTTAATTGAAGATATAAAATCATCTTTTGTATTTTATACAAACAAAACATTATGCGACCGGCAAGACTATGTGTTTCTGAGAATGACTTTCTAAGTGACTTTTTTTTAAAGAAAGGTTGTGCATTATTGCTTTACAAAAAGTCAGATCTAAAAATATCAAACAGGTATTTTCTAATGTATTTCTCAAGCTATTGACTTTGACCTAAAAATAGCTCATCTTGATCGTTATTGATTCTTTTTGTAAGTGCGTATAATAATAGTAATGTAATGCTTTAAATATAGCTTTCTTGTACAGTGTCAAGACACGTAATAAAATATTTATAATAAACAAATAATACTACAAATTTCAAAGTCATACTTTTTTCATTCCTCTAGTCATTCATCTTCAAAGAACGCGTCATGGACGTAACACGTGCAATTCATTCCACGTTTGCACTTCGACATTTGCGACATCGCTTGTTAAAATGTGTTTAAGAGCGCATGTTATCGCAGTTGTGTAAACGTAGAGACTTTTATCTACTCGCCTTTTGCTGACTGCATCATATTTAATATCGCGACGCCGAAACGCAATTACGCGCAATCGCGTTATTAATCCTTGCTCGCCCTCGTATAATTTAAACTTCGTTATCTAACGTCGTGAAATTTTTTCGAGGTCACGGATATCTACAAATAGCATAGATCGTTGGTTTTAAACTGACTTGAGGTAATTGAGCCAGACCACCTTAAAGTCTAGCGGATCGCAAAACAGTGATTCAATTTTGCTAGAAAAATAGAATGCTTTTTACAATAATTCTTGTCGTAACTAACTTTTAAAATTAAATTAATAATTCTCTCTGCAAAAACTAGCCTCATAAACAAAGTTCTTATCATCATCCTAAATACATTACAATACAATCATCGAATAAGTACGTAGCATATTTAAACTGTGAATCAAGAATGTATTTTTCACTTTTTTGTCACTTTCTCTCTCTCTCTTTCTCTCTACAAATTTAAACTTTATTTATATTTTACAAACCTTTTGACCAACGTCTATTTACATGTTATTTCATATTAAAGACGAAACATTTCTAAACAATGAAAATGATCATTAAAAATTAAAATGTTACCATTCAGACAATTTCAATTGCAAAAAGTTGACTTCGTTCAGGTAATTAGCATGAAATTAATATTAAAATTTCGATATTAGTATCGAAAAATAGTTCACAAAGACGAGCACATTTTTGAATTCAAATAAACCTTGTAGGACTTCCTGTAAACAACAGCGTCATTGAGAAGCAAGATTCCGTTGGTATTCGTATTCGAGTGTGTATGCATCCGACCTCTTCGAAATTGCACAACGAGAACAACGACAATATGCATAATGCGCGCAACATAATGCAACTCAGCAGCGAGAGTGGCTGTCGAAGCAGGAAGAAATGAAGGCGAGGCACTTCCAGGAGATCCGCACCCGAAGAAGTGCACGCATGCATTCTTAGAAGGTAAAATGTGTCATTACGATGCTACGATACTCCAAAGTCACATCATAGTATACAGGATATCACAGAAGTAGCATTACAAAGCTACAAACTCTTCGAATATCTCTTAAAATATCTAATAAAAATTTCAGATTAGAGAAGCTATAATTTGTCGTTATTTATATATCGTAATCGATAGAAAATATGTTAATCACATTTTTACGTATAGAGATCAGTTAAATAGCTCATGTTAGCTTTCTGCGCAAAATATGTCCAGATTCTAGGCATCGTATAATAAATTTGCTTCTATCTTCGGTCAGAATAAAAACAGAACTTCAGGATCAAAGTAAGGAATTTTCAAAAAATATCTAAAGGCGTGTAAAATCGATCAGAAAAGGCAATTCATATATTAGTTCTTTCTTCATAAAGAAAATCGGTAAAACCATCTGGGATACTGGTTTCTTATTCTTCATTGAATACAAGAGTCTGAGGTTGGAATCCATAGTCCGTTCTTAATCTCAAGTAAAGTCTTAAGATGCTAATATGGTTTTCTGATTGGTTCATGCACTAGCTTAAAACCATCTCGAATCTTGAGCACTGTCTATGAATTTCGCCCTTTTAAATCTTAAGTAAAAACCCCAGTATGCCGATTAATTTACCGATCATCATTCAAGGACAAGCTTTAAAAAAAGAAAATAATTATTTATAATTTGAAATTGTTTATTTTCTTAATTCGAAAAAAAAAAAAAACAGTTTTTGGACATCGTAGAACAAAAAAAGAAGAGAGAGAAGAGAGAAGAGAAGAGAAGAGAGAGAGCATTTAGACATTATATAATAGAAAGAAAATACTATACAACAGAACAGAAAATACTATAGAACAGAATATATTCTAGAATATACTGCAACGAAAAAAGAATTTCTCGTACCTGCTTTTTTCATCTAACGTTTTATAAAGCGTCTTTGTCTAGATTTTCTACCTGCTAGTAGTCTACCTAGTTTACTAATCTCCAGTCTGCTAGAGTTCAGTTTTATAAAGGGAACGGACAGAGGTACATCGACCTCCTAAAAAAAACTGACGTTAAATTTTCAATCGTGATATCAGTTAAATAAACGAGTAGCAAATAAATGTTCGTATTTAGAAGTAACAATAAATCGATTCTTTCCTGGAATAAATACCGCAGAGTATGACAACGTATCCCTAATAACTAATCTTTTTCTTTCGTATCTCGTATCGATGTAATTTGACCCTGCACGATCGACACGTGGATATTTTTCGTATCGATGTAATTTGAAAGTCAGCGAGAAGATCGCGAGTGAGTGGTGTGAAATAAATAGATTACAGAATGATGAGCTGTTTTTTCGCTGAATAGGCGGCGAT